TCAAATATACCTTTTGGTGGCAACTTATTATCCGGCAATTTGATCTTCCCATTGTTGCAACACAACATAAACAGTGGCGATGCTTTTGTTGACAAATTTTTCTTCCTTTCTTCAAACCAAAACATAGCCCCACAATGTACGCACTGATTTGTTGCATCACCAAAATCGCAGTATTGACCTGAAACCAAATATATACAAATTTAAATACTGATTTATATTTGCTGTATATATAAAACAAACAAACATACATACCATTTTGTGGACCAGATGATGTCCCAATTCCCGAGGTCTGCCTTACAGCGTCACCCGATAAATTTGCATCTGAAATTAAAAAACATTTAAAAATTATTTTTAATATTGAAAGACTGACCATATGTACTTTACTTATATTTGTTTGAAACACCACAGGGTAGTATTTTAGTACCAGCTATGTTCTGATTTGGGACATCGCTCACCGCATTGTTACTTTCATCTTCAAAGGCAGGTAGCAAGTCTCTGGTTGTTACCTGGTCTTCGACAATTGCATATTTATCTAATGGTTTACGAATTGCAAATTCATCTCCTATTTGTGTATTGGATTGCCGTACTGTACACATACATAATATTAGACAAATTTAAAGAATAACAATATTTAAAGTGACAAATAATTGAAACCACTACATTTTATGGTACTGTAAAAAAAATAATTTGGTAGCACGTAGTAACATAAAAAGGATAGAATTCTTAATACTATAAATTAAATACACCTAACATTATAACTTATGGTAACCTAGAATATGAAATAGTAATTTAACTGTATAAGTATTATTATATTTTAGTGGAAAAATCACATGGTAGACCATGGTCCACAATAATATGTTCACCATTAATAGAAATAAAAGAGAAAAAAGTGTATTTCACTAAGTAGAATCTATGGAATTAATTACACATATCAAAACAAATGAAACTATTTTAACAAAAAATTAGAAATTGAGATTCCAAAATAAATCATATATCAGCCAAAAATCCACACATACTTATATGTACCATGAGTTACATTATAATTAAATTCACAATGAGTCTATAGCAATTCAGCTTAGGGCATTTACCGGTAGTGATGTTACTCAATGGTGTGATATATTCAGAGAAACATCCTCGCTGGGGATTTGTGTAAGGATTAGCTGTCGTACGTTGGTCTTGATCTTGAGCAGTATTATTCGTACAAGATGAGCCACCGAAATGATTTGCTGTGATTTAAAATATACCATCAAATTAAGAACTAATTCCAATAATTATAACTCGAAACAATTCAGTACACATAACAAAAAAAAAAAAAATCACTTGCACAACTTTAATACGTAATTGAATATAATTATGTAGACGATGGTCCACATTCTAACTTAAATACAATTCAAGTACGACAAAAACTATATATGATTAAGTACAATGTAATCAATTAATTACATCTAATCAATTAATTACAAATTGATATTAAACATGAATTACATTATAATTATACCATTTAATTTTACAAAAAGCTTCGAACAAATAACAGTATAACGATATTTAAATTAACAATGAATATATAAAAAGGATAGAATTCTTACTATTATAAATTAAATACACGTAACATTATAATTTATGCTAACCTAGAATATGAAATAGTAATGTAATTGTAAAAATATTATTATATTTTAGTGGAAAAATCACATGGTAGACCATGGTCCACAATAATATATGCACTGTAAATAAATAGAAATAAAAGAGAAAAGAGTGTAATTCACTAACTAAAATCTATTTAATTAATTACACATATCAAAACAAATTTAACTATTTCAACAAAAAATTAAAAATTTATTTTTAAAAAATAAATCATATATAAGGCAAAAAATAGTGAGATTACAATTCCACACATGCTTATATGTACAATGAGTTACATTATAATTAAATTCACAATGATTGTATAGCAATTCAACACCGGGCATTTACCGGTAGTGATGTTACTCGATGGTGTGATATATTCAGAGAAACATCCTCGGTGGGGAATTGTGTAAGGATTAGCTGTCGTACGTTGGTCTTGATCTTGAGCAGCATTATTCATAAAAGATGAGTAACCGAAATGATTTGATGTGATTTAAAATATACCATTAACTTAAGAATTAATTCCAATAATTATAACTCGAAACAATTCAATACACATCACAAAAAAAAAAAAATTCAATTGCACAACTTTAATACGTAAACGAATAGAATTATGTACACAATGATCCACATTCTAACTTAAATACAATAGAAATGTAAAACTATATATGATTAAGTACAATGTAATCAATTAATTACACCTAATCAATTAATTACAAATTGATATTAAACATGAATTACATTATAATTATACTATTTAATTTTACAAACAGCTTCGAACAATTAACAGTATAAGGATATTTAAATTAACAATGAATGTATATCAATTCATATATTGGGATTTACCATTACTGATGTTACTGAATGGTGTGATATCCGGAGAGAAACAACATCCCAAAGGATTTTTGGCAGGATGATTTGGCGTATGTTGCTCCTTACCTTGACCAGCATTAGTCATTAATGATGATTTGAAAAAATTATTTGCTGTATGAAAAAAAAATCAATTAAAAGAGGATAAAAACAACAGTAAGTAGAACAGTTAACATTTTTTAAATTAATCACACATAATGCTATTCATTACGCTAGCTTATGATTGTAAATTGTAATTGTTTTAAATAAGACTTACATAATAAGTAGACTTATAAAAAGGTTTTATAAATTCACAACGATGCTATATCAATTGAACTTAGTGGATTTACCGTTAGTCACGTTACTCAAGGGTGTGATGTTTTGAGACAAACACCCTCCAAGAGGAATGCGGGCAGGATTTCTTGTCGGAGACTGTTGTTTTCCTTGATCAGAATTATTCCTTGATGATGAGTTGCCCAATTCATTTTCTGCGAATTAAAATACAACATTAAATTTAATAATAATCCAAATAACTAAAAATCATAAAAATGAATTACACATAATACAACTAACAATACATACTTAATTTCAAATTGTTAAAAATTTACCTAACAATTATTTACAAATTAGTGGTGTGCCACTAAACACACCTTACCGATAATCTAATTGTGAAATATATATAACCTGAAATGGTAATGGCTATATAGTAACACTAATTTTATTTGACAAAATCTTAAGTATAACATTGTCCACAATAAATACCATTACAATTGTTAAGATTATATATCTAATTAATTACACATAACAATTAAAAATTAAATAAATAAATAAATAACTATATACATATCTATATATTTATTTATTAATTTATATCTTTAACCTCTTTAAATATATTATTTTCGGTATATATATAATTTTCCGCATATAATTTATATATATATATATATATATATATATATACAATAATATATCCAATATTAATGTTTTTTCTGTCGGAATTTCGAGAGAAGAGGAAGAAGGGTCTACCCTTCTCCTTCTCTTGAGCTCTCCTTGCTCTCATGTCTGAACAGATCTGTTCTTCACCTCTCCCTACGATCTTACTATCTTTCTCTGTCAAGCCTAAATCTAGATCAGTCCTAAGTCCTAATCTCCGATTCAACTGTTCTTATTGAACATTGTTCCTGGAGAAATTGTAGTCGGGTCTCGCTTAGCATCAATTCCGATTAGCAGTACACAATCCCGATCTTTCCTTTCTGTGAAAGATCTTAGTGTTCAACAACGGTAAATCGTGGCAATCGCGTTTCAGTGAAGGTAATTCTCCAATTCTAAGGTTATTAATTTGTCAATCTACACTAAATTTGTTTAGGTTTCCTACTTTTCGTTGTTGTTTGTTCTAAATTTGATCTATGTTTCTTGATCTATGCATGCATATCAACAATCATAGCTGAATTTTTTTGATTTCAGATTTGTCCTCTTCATAGCCATTAGGGTTCTAAATCGTATTTTTTGTAATGTTGCTCTAAAAACACCAAAGAGAAAGTACTCTTAACTGTTTAACAGTTATTTTCAAAATGGTATAGCTATATTATTATTCACACAAACCCTAACCTGTTTTCGACTTTATCATGTTCTTTTTTAAGAACATACTGGAATTTTTTGAGGAGATAGAGAGCATAAACAGAACCGCAGATGAAGAGGATGCTAGAATGAAGCTTAATTCGAAGTATGAAAAAGATAAGTTTCGAACTTACCTTTATTTTCATCACTTGGTTTCCTTTTGATGCCTAAAATTGTTGATTTAGTGATTTTCCTCATTGCTCTGTCTATTGTGTTTACTTGAAAATGTAGATGTGATTTGTGTCTTTACCTGTGGTCTGAAATTGGAGAACTGTGTTGGTAGTTAGATGGGGCAAAGCTGATAATATGGCTTCATTGTACTTTATTTTACTTTTGCCTGGATTTTGAAAATAGGATTGGAACTGAAGAGTTTTCTCTTAATAGTAATGATAGCTGCCCATCAATTGTATTTAATGTTTAGGAAATGTGTTTCTTTTCCTAAGAATGATTAAGTAATAGTTAACAGGCCAATATTTCCCACTGATCCAATTTCTTTAGCTGATTTGTAAGAACATGGAACACACACCCAATTACTCACTGGTTCTAGAACTATTCATTTTTCTCTTATGGCAGTGGCTGACATTATTCTTCAAATAAAAGTATATTTTCTTTTTTTTAGTTAACACACTAATGTTATTTAATTTACCAATCTTGAATTGTAATGCTGTTATGTAATTTCTTTCTAAATGTGCCTGCCAATTTATTCAATGTATGTGTTGGTATTATTTATTCTGGACAGAAAGTCTAACTTTTTTTTTATTCTTTTTAGAGCAATTGAAGAGCAGCAAGCACAAAATAATCACCACGGCCACATCAGAAAATAAGTTAAGACTATATCTTGATTGGTGTTACATTAGATGAGTTTGCACTGTTATAGTTGCACAGTTTGTAAGACTGTTCTAAGAACATTGAACACATACATTGATTATTTGATTCTACTTATTAAATATTATGAACACATTCTAACCATTTTAATTTTTTTGGGTATTTTTTTAAGAATGGAATAATCCAAGCTATGGAGACATTGAAGAATGGGTCCCAGAAAAGAACCAAGCAATCAAAGACCACTAAAAGCATTATGGTCATATAAGCAAATAGGTTAACACTTTATCTTTATTTGGCTGTCTTTAGATTAGTTTGTATGCATATACTTGCATAGTTTGTAACTTTGTTCACTTTATGCGAGTGTATGCTTTTCCTCTTATTAAATATCCTGAACACAAATTCTAACAATATTTTTTGTTGTTATTCTTATTAGAATGAAATCATCAAGCTTTGAAGAAATTGAAGAGCAGCTGTCATAAAAAAACCAATCAATCAAAGACCACTAAAAGCAATAGGGTCATACAACGAAATAGGTTAAGACTTCCTCTCTACTTGGCTGTAGTTAGATTAGTTTGTATGGATATACTTGCATACTTTGTAAGTTTGTTCACTTTAATTTGTAAGGCAATATTGTTCCATCACTGGCCTTTAATTTGGGTGCATTGTTTGGTTCTATATAAGTATAGAATTGAGTAATGTTAGCAAAGTAATGCTAATACCTTTTTTTTTTCTCTTTGGTCAAAACTGGTATAACTATTCTGTATATATCATAATATTCTTTCACTGTGTTTTATTGCAAGCACTAAGTTTATTTTGTAAATATTAGACACATTCAGTAAAATGTCCTTGTTCGGGAAATGGTGCTCGACTATCGACCAAATTCCTTTATTTTAGTAATAATTGTATTGTCCTTGACATCTTGTTTTTGATGCATTATTTTAGTCTATATAAGCATATAAGTGTTTTTTTTTTGCATGATAAACTCTTTTTTAAAAGCAGATTCTCATTTTTTTTTTGTCAAAACAGTAATATAAAATCCTTTTTTTTTTTACTATTTGCTTAAAACTGGTATAATGTTCTTCTATGTATAAGGAGATTATTTAATTTTTTTTTATTGGCAAAAACAAATTTATTTTATTAATAATAGACACCTTGAAAAATGTCTTTGTGTCACAAATGGTCCTCGAGTATTGACAGTGTTAATCAATTTGTATTTCTATTGTATTTGACCTCTGGGATTTTTTAAATTATTGGATTTTATATTACTATAAAAGTCAGATTTGTGTAGGATAAAAACATTTTTCCGTTTAAAGGAGAATGTTTGTTTTATATCTACATAAAACAGTAATGTAAATTTTTACTATTTGCTTAAAACTGGTATAATGTTCTTCTATGTATAAGGAGATTATTTAATTGTTTTTTATTGGCAAAAACAAATTTATTTTATTAATAATAGACACCTTGAAAAATGTCTTTGTGTCACAAATGGTCCTCGAGTATTGACAGTGTTAATCAATTTGTATTTCTATTGTATTTGACCTCTGGGATTTTTAAAATTATTGGATTTTATATTACTATAAAAGTCAAATTTGTGTAGGATAAAAACATTTTTCCGTTTAAAGGAGAATGTTTGTTTTATATCTACATAAAACAGTAATGTAAATGACTTACAAAATTCTTCTTTTAGTTGCTTTTATCTGATTTCTTTCTAAATGTGCTAGAAAACATTGATGGATTCCAGCTTGAACATCAGTTGTTTGGATAGATGCAAACAGAGTAAAGGAAGATTGTGCAAATAGGTAATTGGAACTAACACCCTTTTTTTACATGACCTAAATGACTTGACAAAATTCTTCTTTTAGTTGCTTTTATCTGATATCTATTTAAATGTGCTAGAACACATTGATGGATTCCAGCTTGAACATCAGTTGTTTGGATAGCTGCAAACAGAGTAAAGGAAGATTGTGCAAATAGGTAATTGCAACTAACACCCTTTTTTTAGAACAGTACATTTACATGTAAAGTCTTAGAATTGCAAACAGAGTCAAGCTGATTGTGCAAATAGGTAATTGAAACAAAATCTATTTTATACGCACTTTATATTTTAGATATAAAGTCTTAGAATTGGGAATAGGAACATACAAAAAACACAACTTCAAAGTCTAAATTGCTTGGCAAACTATTTACATCCTGTGGACTACTAAAACCGACTTTGCTTGCCAAACTATTTCAATCCTGTTTGCCTTCTAAAAACTTGGCCACCTAGCATGTTTGCTGCAAAACAGGCACAACATATTTAGATCTAAAGTCTTAGAATTGGAAATAGGAACATATGAAAAACACAACTTCAAACTCTAAATTGCTTGGCAAACTATTTCCATCCTGTTTGCCTTCTAAAACCTTGGCCACCTAGCATCTTTGCTGCAAAACAGGCAAAACATATTTAGATATAAAGTCTTAGAGTTGGCAATAGGAACATATGAAAAACACAACTTCAAACTCTAAATTGCTTACCAAAGTATTTCCATCCTGTTTGCCTTCTAAAACCCTAAACCCTAGCATCTTTGCTGCAACTTGGACACCTTTCATCCTTTTTCTGAATAACCTGAAAGCAAAATTAGAAAAACTCCAAAACAGGTTCGAATAGCAGTACATACACCAATTTATTGTACTAAACAGTTAGGAAATTACTAAAAGCATTAGATAAAAGTTTTAAACCATCCATAAAACTGAAAATAAAAAATTGTCACACCACAGTATTAGGAAAAACAAAAAAAAAAATGTCTGGATAGTGTCCGGCTATCAACAATCTCTTTCAACCATCAATCTCAATTACATCTTTTCCTTTTTGATTTCTGAGTCATTCAACTTCTTCCTACTTTTGGATGATGAAAACTCATCCAAAAGTGACCTTTTAATAGCACCAACATTTTCTGCATTGTCTTCTCCTTCCTTTTGCGAGGGCTGGACAGTCGCAGGACTGTTCACTTCAACCCCAATCGAATCTTCCTATTAGTAAGAAAAGCAGACAACACTATTAGTAACCAAAAAAATAAAAAATCTCAAAATTTAGTGTTAGAAATTCTTACTCCAGAAACTGCATCAGTGTTAGTTTCCTCATCAATCATCCTTGACATTAAGTCTTGCTCTTCATGCTCCACAAATCTGTCAGCATACGTCTTAAGCAAGTGCTCATCCCTTACAACCCTAACAACATTGAATGGGTAATTGGGACCCATCTTTTGGGCAAGTTTGAAGTTGATCTTAAACAGCATCTTCATACCAACTATAGCATCCAATTCAGGGGGCACTTCAACATCAAGCTGTTTAGATAGTGAACAAATAACCAAGTTAAAAACAGATAATGTAAACAGTTTAGGCCAAAAAATGCAGACATTAGGTAATAAGAATTTACCTCCTTGTATTTTGCATACAAAATAGAGGCAGGAATACCCACAAGCTCTGTAACTTCCCTATCCCAAAGCAACATTGGAGCATCTCCAAACTTGTCAAGAGCAATAACAACAACTTTGTACCTAACTTGACCCATCATACAATTCTTCTTACACTTAGTACAGAAAAGTGTCCCTTCCTGTTCTTTAAGCTTCTTATTACATCCAAGTTTCAGGCATGATAAGTAGTACCAACCATCCTCAAAATCTAACCCGAGAATCTCAGCAGCAACATAATAGTCCCCATCCTATAGTATTCAAACAATTTTATAAGTATATATAACAGTTAATAATTTCAGTCCCATCAAACTACAGAAAAGATTGGTAGCTTAGTATGTGGATTACCTCTTTCACCTTCTTAATGTCATGGCAGTTAGTCACAATAACAGAAGCATTATGAAAATCACTAATGCCTGTAGAGTTGGAATGCAGTGTGCCAGTACTGAGACTCCGCATTGGAGTACCCTGAGCTTTCATGCTTCAAAACATTAGAAACTTAGTTAGATGTGTCTAAAACAACAAACAAAAATAGAGTAGACAACATTTAAACTATCTATCTTTTATTTAGATATGCAGTTCAGTGTACTCAAATATATTTGAGTACATTGTACAGCATGGTATTTAAGTATATATACACAGTATATTTTTTTTTTCTCCATTATTCAGATGATAAAATGAAATATATGGATTGTGTTAATTCAGAAGTACAAAGTATAGCACACATTAATAAAGATAGCAAGACAATTAGCAGAAAACTAAAAAATAGGAGAAATATAAAAGATGGAACTTACTTTGACCTAAACTCTTTAAACTCTTCCCAATCCTCATTAAACCACAGCTTCGTAGCATCATAGGAACTGGTTATTCTCACTTCACCTAAAAAAATGCATAAAATAGAGAAGTGTATTTTTAGATATATATTATGATATATATTATGATATAAAATACAGTATTTGAATCTATAGATTAGAAGAGAAAATAGTATAAAAACTCACCACCCACAACTTTGGCCCTACAGCATTGAATGACAACAATCAGTGGTTCTTTAGAATCACTATTGTAAAAAGGCATCAGGGAAGAAACATGCTCATTCCACAGTGTACACATGATGGTGTTATCACTGCATTATAAACAGAAAAAACCCAAAACTATTAAAAAAAAAAGCATGAATTTATAATGTAATCAAATTTATTTTAATAAACTTACGCATTGTCTTCAAGTTGGAAGTCTATTAGTTTGGTAGCCTTTCCCCCCACAATCTTGTCAACAGGATTGTAAATCTCAGTTACCCTTCCAATAACATCTGCAAAACGAACAAAATATTAGCAATATTATATTAAAAGTATAATAAAGAAGATATTAGCAGTTTGGAAATGTAAATTTAGTACCAATCAGCTCCTTGTCATTCACATCCTCAGGATCTTTCAAAGCCACAAAACTCTTTAATCTAAACATTTTGCAAGGAAAGCCAGTAGAATGTATTTCCTTGACTTGTGTTCTGTAGTTAAATTTCAGCAGGAAACCATGCTCTGTAATCTTGTACACGTAGTAGTTTGTAGAGGCCATGAAGTTCTTTATTTCATAAATTTTCCCTTCCTTGATTATATCTTTATACTTGACAATGTCTTTCTTGATGATACTCGCATGAATGTAGTCTCCCTGCGAATACAATAGTAAACAAAATGTACACAGCAAAACAGTTATAGAAGCTTAATTGAAAGAACATTATATGAGAAGATTATAGATAGGAAAACACAGTAAGATTATTAGATAAAATGGCAGCAGTTAGTAGACAAAATCATATGTGAAAATAGCTAAAATTACCTCTTCATCATGGAACACAACTTCCATGCTCTTACTAACCTGACCTTCTCCCCTTTTTTCAGGAACTTCAAACACACGAATTGCTCTCACTCGTATTGCCCTTTGCTGGTGTTCCGGCTTGATGTTTCTCACGGCAAGGAACATGGAAGGCATGTTGAAACAGCAAAGATTGGTTTCGAAAAGGCTGTAAACTGTGATAACTTTCTGAAGTGTACTGCCATGAAGAAGGCCGGTATTTATACATACTGAAGATTCAAAAATAAGGAGATACCGGCATTCTAAGTTTGGGAAATCGCACATCTCAATTAATGTAAATTTGAATATTCCAACTCTGCATATTCTATGTATCTATGTATGTATGTAATGTATGTAATCTCTATTTAATTGTTTCTTGTATGCCGTAGCAGTTCATTAGGATTTGTAGATATTAATAGTAGTGATCTTGGTTACAATACCAAAGAGTTCTACATTAATTGAACTCCTTGGGAACCAAGGACTGTGTAATAATAAGAACGGCTAGGTATATTCCCAATACGAATTTTCATTACACGCGCACAGTAAAAAAGGAATTAATTCCAGATTGTTAGCTATACCAAAACTGCGTCGTTTTCATTGGGCGGGAACTAATGATTGGCAAAACTTCTTGCTTTATTATAGAGTTAGATATTAGAAATCATATGAAAACTAATAGAGAATATATCTTGGGCTACGAACCCTTTTACACTAAAGAGTTGGTCGGATACGAATCACAGAGAGGCAATTGACAATTCTTGACCTGATCTGAGTTTAGCTCATGACTGACTCGACCTGGATGCTAGGCCTCTCGTTGGCTTCATGGGCCTTTGACTTTATTCTTCTAAGCTCAGTCCCGACCTGAGTAATTGGGTCGGGATCCCGAGCACATATACTTAGCATTCAAGTCGATCCCAGTAAGGGATTGGTCAATCAGATACATTCTTATACGTATGTGCACGTATTTCTTTAGCTACCGAGATCACCGGGTGTATAGAGGATACATGGCGGACATGTCGACTATTCGGCATGTGTCCCCTCGAACTCCCTATAAGTAATTACTCAAGAGATGGAGTGGTCTGGTGGGTTGGAACACGCATACCAAGCTTGAGGGTGCGTGTTTGATCTTCACACAAGCTGCACAATGGTTGTTAGATTTTCTTTCATTGTTTGGGCTGATTAAGGGACAGCCAAACATTTGTTTAATCCCCTAATCCTCTACTTTTGGCAGCTTCCACGCGTCCTCACTAATTACATAAAATAAGGAATAAGTGGGGGAGTAGAACAAAAACTTCCTCACTAATTACATAAAATAAAGAATAAATGGGGGAGTAGTTGTTGACTTGTTGGATGGTTATGAAGACTTTTAGGGGGCGTTTGGTTCAGTTATATAACATAATCAAGGGAATGTGAGTTACTCACATTCCGGTATTTGGTTTATATTATTTTAGGGAATCTAACATTCTCAAGGAATGTCACATTCCCTCCATATAAGATTTTGAAGGGAATGTGATTCCCTTCAAAATATTAGGTAATGTAAGATAACCTTGGTTATGTTAGTTTAGTATATATATATATATATATATATATATATATATATATATATATATATATATAATTATTTTTGTAACTATTTTTTTTTTATTTTTATTATGCTATGTTAGCATATAAAATAATTTTGTTTCTCAAGTTCAAGATTTTAATTAATATTTTAAAATCGTGTAATTATATATGATACTGTTATCTTATTTATTTATTTTAATTTTTAAATTTATTAAAATATATGAAAATATGTTAAGGATATTATAGTGTGTATAAAAGATAACCCTAAACTAAACATCATTATATTACATACCCCAATTTTAACCAAACACAGGAATCTAACATTCTCAGTAATCTAACATTCCCAACAATCTAACATTCCCTAAGGTAATCTGACATTCCGTGAACCAAACGACCCCTTAAGTCTTCAAATGGAAGGAGGGAAACGAAAGAAATTAAAGTGGGAGATGGTGCGATTTTCTATATCGTGGACCGTGGATCATGGTATGAAAATAGCGTTGTTTCTTTAAGTAAAGAAACAATTTGTTAAATTTTAACAAATCTCATATTTTTGATGTGTTTATAATAAAATGAAACTATAATGTATCTAAAATGAAACTAAATAACTTGTCTAACATATTGTGTTATTTATATTATCAAATAAACTATAATTGAATTGAAATGATATCGTAGTTGTGTTAAAATGAAACAAAAATATATATAAAATGAAACTAAATAACATGTCTCACAAATTAAGTGTATATTGTCAAATACAGTTGTAGTTGAATTGAAATGATACATTAGTTTTGTTGAAATGAAACTACAGTATGTATAAAAAGAAACTGAATAATGTCTTACATATTGAGTGTATATTGTCAAATGAAAATCTAGTTATATTAAAATGATACTTTAGTTGTGTTATAATGAAACTACAATGTATATAAAATGAAACTATTTAGTGGTGTTGTAATAAGACTATAATGTGTATAAATGAAATTTAATAACATGTCTCGCTGTAATAAGACTATTGTATGTATAATGTGTTGGTGATAATGAACCAAAGTCGATTTAATATCACAAAATAAGATTTATCGTCTATACACACGAAAGTATATAAAATATTATTCAATATATATCCGAAATATATATATATATATACACATACTAATATACACATAAATCGGACCCCAAAGGTTATATATATATATATATATATACACACACACACGAAAAATATATATATCAACCAACTGGAATTTATAATCCTCGGATTATTATTCCAACTAAAGGAAAAGTGTAGTACAAGGATTTTTGCTTAAAAGCATAATCCCAAAATCGGAGTAGAGAGAAGATGAAGAAGAGTGGAAAGTACGAGTTGAGCGAAAGCTCTCTTCTTTAAAACCTTATTTGCCACCTCCCAAAAGTTCCAGGAGCGTTGTTGCTTAGGCTTCCCAGGATAAAATGTACTACGATTCAACGTTTGAGCACCCCAACGAATGAATCCGACGAACTAGAGCACGGACAGAACACAACAGCAAGAACGGAGTAGGAGCAGAGTTTTGAGAGAAGAAAACTAACTTCTTGTTGCGTGTGTTGTGTTTCTACTTCACTTCTAACTTGTAAATCTGCTGCTCCAACAACAAACTTATATAGGAGATTGAGGTGTAAATAACATTGAGTAAAAGACATTTTTGGTCCTAGACTTATAGTGGCTTGGACAATTTTAGTCCTTTATAAAAAAAATTTTCCATTTTATGGACAGAGTTATTGTGGCGAGGACATTTTTGGTCCTCCGTCTATTGAGATTAAATCTAATTTAAAATCAGATTATAACCTTCAAAGCCGACCAACAGTTGAATTAATCCTCCAAATAGTTAGTTGCCGCGCGTACTGCTGTTTTCGGTAGACGTGAACCACGCGTAATATTCCAGAAGACCAGAACGTACCGCGCTTTCATATGCATCGTGCACCGAACCGTTGGAAAAAAGGATCCAGAAAGTTACTTGCACACGAGCTCAGGCTCTTGGATCAAGCCTTTTCAATTGCACCACCCCTACACACGAAAAAAAGCCTCTATGCTATACAATTCAATAAGCTTTAAAAGAGCTCTTGTATAAATAGTGGGGCAAATCCTCTTCCCAAACCAATGTGGGACAAAACTTCTTCCCAAGCTTTTCCCTTCATTTTTCCAACTCAAATGGGTCTACTTTGAGAATCAATATCTCATTCACCTATTATCCGTTTTGATCGTACGATATATCACTCTCTTTGTCTCACTACAAAGAACCCGAATCCACTTTGACCCGACCCATTTCGGAAGTGGACCCCACTGATAATTGTACAACAAAATAGCTACTTAAAATTCCATTTTAATGCTATTTTTCCCAACAATCCCCCACATGAATGAAAATTGATTTTCAGGGTATTTTGAAATCGGAAACAACTGTGTTCAACGGTCGATCTCTGCATAAGATAGGTAGGGATCACTATACCCTTTGAACCTTCCCTTGTGAAGACATGTTTGCTCTATTGGCTGTACGGTAGAACACGATGTCTTTGAACCGACTGCCGTTTGTGTAGACGATGACATATCTCACACAGGAACCTCCCAACCGTGCTCTGTTCTCATGAGTGTGCCCGTTTTGGTCGTGGGTCATCTTCCTGGTTCTGCAAGAGTTTCTAAAGAATTGTGCCCATCAATTCTCCTTTGAAGCGACCCTCACTTCTCTCTCACACAGGTGATTCTTTCTCAAGTATCGAATCATACACACCCATGTCAATCGACATTCGAATCATTAAATCATCAATGTGCTAGCCTCGTGCGAGAGTCACTGTTTTTAACGAGGAGTGGTAGGGAGCCCGAGACCCCCATAGTGACACACTTCGTTCCATAATTTAGTTGTTCCATTGAACCTAGGTGCCAGCTAGGTTGGGTATCCACTATAGAACTTTTAGTCCAAGGGCTTAGACCCATTCCTCGTTCCAACTTCTCCACAACCATTTGTTTACCCTCGGGTTAGCAAGTTAACGGCCGCTACATTATCTTTTGACATCACGTAGTCAATAGGGATAACCCCTGTTGTGAGAAATTGTTTAATGGTATTCTGTCTACGACTTATAAGTCTAGACTTACCATTGCACATCTAACTCTGTACTTAACCAATTTTGGCTTGCCTATCGCAACACACACAAAAATTGGAGGTACGAGTTTACCTCTAGGAACATTCCCAAAAAATTGCATGGCATTTCGGCTTACTCGCTCGCGACACGAGTCTAAGGCTCTCAGCTTAGATCCCGTCATGGATCTTAGCCATCACAAATCGTTTTGGGAATTTCCACACAACCAACTACACTAGCTTACCTAACATGATAACATTAATATTATGCAAAGGTGATGGTGGTTGGAGTCGGGGGATGGTGATTAATATTGTTTCCAAAAAGTGCCCCACAGGTACTGGCCCGACAGATCTTCTGTGATGATATAAATCATATACTTATTGTACACAAGGAAGCCCCTTAACTTCCTACACCGCTGCTGGTAAGACTCGATCTCGAATTATTGTTCATAAACTTTATCCATGTGACCAACTGAACTATCAATGCAGAGAATGGTGATTAATTAATACTCCGTATTATGCAAGGTGGTGGACATTGAAATTGGTGCCCTGGACAGTGATTAAATATATTTGTTAATTTAAAAGTTGTTGGCATTATTTATATATTAATATTAATATGAATAATACTT